TGAGCCCGAAATCTGTTCAACGGATTCTCCACAGATTGGATTACCATTGCAGAGCAGCTAGACGGAAGCCCTTATTAAGACCTGCCAACATAGAAAGAAGTGGGCAAGTGATATGATGACCAAGCCTCTGGACTTTTGGAAGACCGTATTGTTCTCAGACAAATCAAGATTTGCTCAATTTTTGGACAGTGGAAGGATATGGGTCTGGAGAATGCCTCACCAAGAGTTTTGGCTCAACAGATTGCAGCCAACTGTGAAGCATGGTGGTTTCAGCGTGATGGTTTGGGGAGCTGTTTGGGTTGGTGGGAAATCGAGCTTAGTGGAATGCGTTGGCAACATAAATTTTGTGAAACACGTCGAAATATTGGAGGAAGGACTCATGCCACTTTATTCCTCGTGTTTCGTGGACAAGAACACAACGTTGTTCCAGGAAGATGGAGTACCGTGTCACACTGCTAGAAACACCCAAAAGTGGCAGGAAGAAAATGGTATCCAGAAGTTGCCCTAGCCGAGCCAATCTCCTGACATGAACCCCATCGAAAACCTTTGGGCCATACTCGACCGGCAAGTCAAGAAAAAACCAAAAAACCAACTTCGAAGAGCGATCTACTCCAAGTTTTGAAGCAAGAGTGGGCAAAAATCCCACAATCTAAAATTGACAAGATGATTCTCACGATGCCCCATAGGATCAACAAACTCCACGAAGCGAAAGGAAGATCTACTAGATATTAATATCACTGAAAAATTTCATTTTTTCTGAAAAGGTGGTGTCTATTTACTTATGACCACGCTGTGTATAGTGTAGATGTTGGTAAGCCTTAATGTAAACTTATAGCCTCCACATTTCTTGCTTTACTGAAATATAAACAAAAAAGTATAACACACATGCTACACCATTCTTTCATATCTTATCTTTCTGAAAATGACAATAATTTTTTTTGACATTTGCTATTAGATTATTTACAGGAAGCAAAACATTACATTCATCTTTTTAGTTGGCTTTCCTGATCAGGAATGCATGGTTCATCCATATTCTTTAATTATGATCATTAAAAGTGGATCATATTGAAACATATGAAACATATTGCATGGATTAAATAAAAAAAATAATTCATGAGGAAATGAAACTTTACATGAAGGAATGTAATCTTTCTGATTTCTTTACCTTGAGTGAACTTAAATTTATTTCATTATTTCTATCCTTAATTTTTAACCAATAGAATGAGAAGATTCTGCTTTACTAAGTTTTGTATGAGGCTATTTGTTCAGGTGCCAAGTTTTGGAACATTTGGCCTCAATTTTATTGTTTGCCTTTGTTGTGATCATCTTGACCAGTTAACAGAATTTCTTTTAGCCAATTTAGAAAGCCAGTTAAATTGTAATAATTTCAGAACATTATTTTTTGTGCACCATATTATTTTGTGCTCTACGTTACATATTTGAAATTAAAAATAATTATATTTTGGAACACCAACATTGTTGCAAAAATGTAGGCTTATGGTGCTTTAACTTGTGCATACAGGGTTAATCAAGATCAGACATTACTTTTATGTCTTTGTTACGTACGTGTCTTACTGCTATTGTGGCTCTTATGTTCCTTTGATATGTTTGCCTGTTAGACTGTATTGCAAGATGCTCATTTTTTAATTAGCTGACCTCCATGTCGTTTTGTCTTTACGGGTATTTCTCTTTAATTTATGTCCCATTCAAGGAGTTGGTTAGGGTTTTAGCATACATCTCATTTTGCTTCTGGGTGTCATTCCCTTCTAGTCTTGTGTTTAATGTTTTACTATAATCTCTACATCTACTTGTACTTTTAGTCAAACCTAGCTTACATAAGCACCAAATTAGCAGGGGCCAGGGAGTATTTGAACAGGGAATATTTATTTTTGGAGGGCATAACTCCCCAATGTAAACCCTACAGTCCATGCATGTAGTATGCTATTGTAATGATCTAATAGCTACTGTATCATTGCGATCTGTAAAACTTCTGTGAATTGGCATAATGACATGGTCATATGATTTGAATGGTAGCATTATTAGTAAAATGGAGCAAACTGTTAGAAGTCTTAATATTAGGATAACTAGTTTTGACACATTTATCATCCTCTTCATTCTGACACTATCAGGAAAACTGGTCAACAAACCTACATGATCCCAGAACTTTGAATCCCTTTAAGGGTACAGAAAAACAAACAAGCTTTTGATCAAGCAACTTTTGATAATTCTTCTTTTAATGTAGCCATCCATTTTGTCTAAACTTTTGTTAATTTCCAGTGGATTTGATGTCTAGAATTTTTATATGAAGAGAAATGGCATTGTTTATGTTTCCATATTTAATTTCTTTTTTTTTTATTGGGTAGAAACTCATATCAATTTCACCTACATAACTTTTCTCACAGGATTGGCATGGTATAATATAAAAGCCTTGTTTTTTATCTTCAGGTGTTCTTCATAAGTTAGGTTATTTTTAACTATGTGTGGATATTTGTCGATGTAACATGAATAGTGGTGTGGATTACAATTGTGCTGATATTTGGATATGTTAATTTCATATTTACGATAGACGTAATAAGTGATGATTTGAGTTGTAAGTGTATTGACCCATTTTGATTTAGACATATTTTGTAGTTTATGATATGGATAAAGAAAAAATTAATTACCCCCATTTTGCCTTCCAAGAGTTCTTGCCAAGTCAGCACCTATGATAATGTAGATGTAAGTAGGGTGTGTCTTTATGACATACTCATTGACTGTTCTGAATGACTTCTCTGTCCAGAATTTTGGGGGGCATCTGAGATTTTTGTTTATCAATGGACTCTTTGCTTCATGTTCTCTAGATTATTGAATTTTTCACTTTGATTTTCTTTCTGTCATCCAAGTTTGACCATTCCAGTTTTTATTCAAGCATCCTTTTCTTTTGCTACAACCATACAGTACCTTAGCCTTGACCCTAAACAATCATTTTTGTGCTTCTTTGACATCAGCAGCCTGTTTACTAATGTACCCTTGGAAGAAACCATCAAAATTTGTGTGGATACTTTGTATGATGGAGTAGTTCAGTGCCCTCCAATACATAAGGACCTGTTTATTGAACTGATGAATACTGCGACATGTTTGATGGAATTCAGCTTTAATGATATCATGTATCAACAAATTGATGAAGTCGCCATGGGTTCTTCTCTTGGACCTGCTTTAGCCAATATTTTTATTGGTTTCCATGAAAAAGAACTATTCAACAAAGTTACCAGACCTGCTGTTTATTTCCGCTATGTAGACGACAAATTTGCCATTTTAAAAACTGAACAGGAATGTGAATGTTTCTTACAAGACCTAAACTCATTGCACTCGGCTCTCAAATTTACTTTTGAAAAGGATCAACATAACCCTTTACCATTCCTAGAAGTCTTAGTTGAAAAAGATGACTTTCGTTTTCTCACCAGTATATACAGAAAACCTACCTTTACAGGAGAATACTCATGATGGGATTCTTTCAGTCCTAAAAGTCGAAAAACGAACCTTATTGCTACTTTATAAACTAGATTTTGAATTGAAGACAATTAAAGCTATTTTACTAGAAAATGGGTATCCAGAAAGCGTCATCAATCAAATTACTTCAAGGAAAATTGCGAGCTTCTCAACTGTCCCAAAATTTGGTCCCAACAAGTGCCCTGTTTACTTAAAACTACCATGGATTGGTAACATTTCAACAAAATAGAACCTTCCTACCAGAGACTTGGGTTGCAAGACCCTTATTCTGCCACATGGTTGTTGTCTTTACCAGTATAAACATCCCAGTCTAAACCTGGCTTGCTCTCACACAATAACCACAGTTTTATACCCCCACTTTGTGGGTTTGTTCAGTATGTACTGACGAAAATATATCCGTCCCTTGAAATTCCTCATTGATTCATCAATTGTAAGTTCATGACATGGCTTGTAATACTGCTTATTCAGTGGCTTCACAATGTTCACACGTGGAACCCTTTTAGAATTTTCAAAAAATGAAGGAATGAACTTATCAGCTGTTAATGATTGCATGGCAATACATCTCACTAACCAGGGGACTGGGCTATACCCCATTTGCCCAGTAGTCACTGATCCTTGGCTTAGAACATGATCCTATCATTCTCTGCAAGCCAACATAGGCTTTGATTTCATCTGTAGTACACTCAACCAAATCATTGTAACAAGAATTTTCAGGGAGGTCTGCCGGATTATCAAAGAACCCCAGGGCGTAAGTGTTAGTCATCTCACAAATAAGCTCAAATGCTTTCTGAGGGAATAAAAAGTAGAAATAATCTACAGGGTGGTTACCGTCAGGCAAAGGTGTAATCACAGGGCGAGGCCTTTTAGCATAAGCTAGGCATCAAATTGGGATATAATTGTCATAATCATCATCAGTGACCCACTCATGATCAGCATCAGCCATGTCCCCTTGGCTACCATTATCATCATCACTGTCCCCAATTATCATTATTTGCAGCATTATCGGTATCTGTGTCACTGTTTTTCCAATCATCATTGCCAAATTCACTCAATTCTGAGCCTGAATCACACATTATTTAGCCCATTACATCCTTTGTGTCAAGCCATTGTTTTTGTTTACGTTTACCTGTTGACATGGTTCTGGTTAGTGCCCTCAAATTGGGTCAAAAGTCAAGAATTTCACAAAAATAATGCCCATAATTGAGGAAACTACACTAGATTACATTGTGGTTGCCTAGAGACCATGCAGGTGTGGCACGGAGTAAATTACTGACCGGTAAATGGAACTATGTCAGGAATTCGACTAAAGTCGCATATGGCAGTGAAATGGTTAATGAGTATCCTCAGCTAGTGTTTATAATGTATTGGATCATCATTTGGGATTCACCATTAACAACATTTTTAGGCTAAATCTCAATATCCCATGAGGTCCATCAAGTTTTGGAGATTAGTCTTAAATCCATATACTATGGTGTTTAAATTGAGTAAGAAAATGTTCCTCAACAACCTAAATGTTAAAATTCAGGGTTTGATCTCCTCTGCTGTGAACAGAACACAAATAATAACCCATTATGTAGCTTTGTACTGAAGGAAACTCAACAATCTAAAAAAAAAACTTCTCATGACCATACAAGTTTCCCTACTTCTCTTTCTCTTTAAAAGGTAGTTAACTCATTTGTCTGGTCATTAGTCATATCCCTTATTTTGTTTGTAACTATTTCAGGATTCTTATAAGATAACATTTTCCATTTATGATAAAAACCTTAACCCATGTACTCAATAGATCAATGAGTTTTTCAAGATACCAATTTCTGAAGTATTATCCCGTCTTTGATCTTTATTAAAGAGAATAAAATCTCCCATCTTTCATTCACACAAACACTGTGAAAAAGCTATAACCCTCAGTATTTACATTTAATTAATTTTTGGTTTTTCCAGTTACACACAAATTGCTAAAAGATATCAATGAATTCATTCCCATTATCTTATTTCAAATCTCTGCCTTATTTAAATAAGGTTTATTGACAAATCATCAAAATATTCTCGTGTATTTTGGTTTTCACTACAAATAATTTGTAAGTGCTTCAGTTTTATATAATGTTTTTCTGTCTCTACTAAGAAAAGGTTTTACAGATCAGAGTTTGAGATTGATTATTTGTCCTTATAGGTGTGCCCAGTTTGTGCAGCATCACCTAATGGGGAACCTAATTATGTGACTGAAGACTTTGCTGCACATCTTACTTTAGAGCACCGTAGCCCTCGGGATTTGATATCCTTTTAGAAGATTATTAATATATATATGTGTGTGTGTGTGTGTAAAACATGACACAAAATCTGATTTTTCAGAATACATTGTATACAATAATAGAAACTTAAAAAACCACCATAGTCTTAATTATTGTGTTTCTACAGAGGAAACGCTTTTTGCAGCACTAGGGTAAGTTTATGAGAATTTATTTTGTATGTTAGATATTTACCATTATAAATGAAATTTCATACATATTTTGTCAACTCGTAATTAGTAATGAAGATGGTAATATTTACAGCATCATATATACATCAGCATGTATACAAGTTTTTGTCGACTTGTGAGTAGTAGTGAATATGTTAGTATTTACTACATCATATATACATCAGTATGTTTACATAGTTTTTCTCAACTTATAATTATTAGTGAATATGGTATACTTATAACATCATATTTACATCAGCATGAAATGAAATGTGAAGTTTGGAAAATGCAAATATGGGATTTTTTAACGTTATTTTCATTAACTCTATCATAGAAAGGTCTTTGTTAGTATAAAAACTTAGAAAAGCAGTTGAAGTATATCTTTTGCAAATTACTTGATATTTTGTTCTTTAAGGTCAGAAAATAGTGACATTGGTAACATGTTATTAGTATCTCTTAATTTTTAGTAACTGGTGGGCTCTAGCTAAGTAACATGCAAGATATTTAAAAGATAAAAGTAGAGTTAGCAATGTTATGGAGAAAAATACGTAAATTGTAACTATCTTCAAAAATGAACATATGTTTAAATTTCTGGGTATTATGTAAATGGGAAAATGTTAAACTCATTCTATTTATTTAAATAGAAAGATTCTCTATTTTGTGTTTGTCTTTTTCTGCACAGAATTTTATTAAGGAATATTACATGTATGCAATTAACAATTATAAATTTGTGCTCCTTAACATGAAGTATGATGAAGGAACAAGTTCACGCCATATTAGGAGAATCCCTCATCCTGGAAGAGGAATGAGCAGTGCTCGTGCTCGACGAAACCAGATGCAGTTTAATTCCTCAAATGGGTTGTCATCACTTTCTCCTAACAGTAGGGAATCTATAAATCCTCTTGCAGGTTAGTTAATTATGTATTACTTCACCAAAGTTATAAAGTTTTGATTACAGACCTGAAAGTGAAAAAGGAAAAAATACTTTCAATAAATATGGCTATAACAGACTGAGATTTAATGTTAGCATAACGTTCAGATGGAAGTGCTGACTGCTTAGATTATACTATTTAACTGTCTTGATGGTGTAACTCTTTTTTTTTTCTCCTGGAAAAGTTAAGGTAAATGAACAACAATTTAACTACACAATGTGTGATTTGTAAACAAACTTGCAATAAACTATTGCTTCTAAAAAAATTCAAATTTAACACTTGGGCTATACTTTTTTAGTTTAGTTTAGTTTTTTGTACTCATGCATCATCCTTGCTAAGTCTCACTGAATTTCACACATGTAGCAAGTAGAAATATATTAATTTTCATAGATTTTATTTATGCATTTTGGAATACCAAAATATTAAAAATTAGTATAGAAAATGCCACTTTATTTATCAGGCTTCCTAACAAAGCTGTGTTTGTGTCTAAACAAAATCTAATTTCTGATCATAATATTGCCTTGATCATCACACTTCAAACTCACCAATGGTTATACTTTAGGAAAACTGACAGGGTTGAATAGTTCAAAATGAGTGTTTTTGATTGGTTATAAACATGTGCTTAAGAAAAGTAGGAGTAGGTAGACAAGTATTTTCAAAAGATGAAGTGGTGGGTTTACAAAATATAATTTCTCAGCAAATAGAAAAAGTATGAGGTTCTTATTTTATATTCTAGCTTGTCAGTATTGGTGATTTGTGTTTCTAATTTATTAAAAACTATAGAGGTTGTATTTTAAGTGACAAAAATTGTAATCTAAGCAAAAGCAGAAGACAGTGCACCATGTGACACATAAAAATCAATATTTAACTATTTTTTTGAAATATTTACTTTTGAACTAAGAAAATAAATTATGCATAATACTAACACTTGAATTATAAACTACAATTTGATGCCAAATTTATAAACTAGACGTTTAATAAAATTTTGAATGCGAGTTACAAAATGTGATGCCATGGCCTCTGACTTTTACCTATATAGAAAGGGTTAATGGGGAGTAATACAGGACATTTTGAACAATATTTTTCAATTATACATTGATAAACTGTATGTTAACATGAAAACAAGGTGTACTGCTCTGTGAAAAGCAGAGAGTTCACATAGAAAATACTAGTGTGTTGTACATCTTTTCTTTTGTATTTTCTATGACAATGTTTTTCTTACAATTATTAAATTTACTATTTAGTTGCTGTTATTCTTTGTTTGTGAATCCTTTATGTGTATGTCTTATATTTTTCTCTAATTATTTCTGTTACTGTACATCCAAGGGGAGATTATCTCCCAACTTGATGTAACTTGTAAAACCTCCTAACCAACCTTCACATGGTTATCAGCCACATCCTAGAAGAGCAATGACACAGATATTCATGCACAAAGAAGTAAAATTTTTGTGGCCACTGTGGTATGTAACCTTTACCCTCTCTCCATGAACATCCTTTACTGTGTACATCACAAGGTTTTTAGTGAGTTACATTAAAAAATTTAATTAAACTACTTTTTGTTCATGTTATACCAGTTAGTATAAAAAAAGTAGTTCATAAACCATATTTTATTAGTATCTAAGTTTTAAGTTCTTAATTTTATAAGGCAATATTTAAAAAAATCCTGAATTTCCCCTAGTGTGAGAAATGTGACATTTTTCTCTGGGCATCCACTCTTCTCTTATTTATTCATCACCCCTCCAATAAGTACGAAATGTAATGTAAATTACTCACTATAAAATTGTCATCACTCAGACAGCATAATTTTTATAGCCTTCAATCTTGTCTGGTTACAGAGCTATCAAATAGAAAATCAGACCTCTCTTGCCACACCTACCTGTCATATCCTCTGTTTAATACTATATTATTTATGACCAATAGAAACCCAAGGTTTTCATCTATCAAATGACATATTATACAAGTTGTTTTCTGTTTAGAGAATTGTCAGTTTCTTTTTCAGTACAAGCTTCATTTTCAAGGGAAACACATCAAACAGCTTGGATGAAATTGTAATGGCTCTTGTCACATAGTTAAAAAGCCAGAACAGTTGTGATAGTTATGGGACGTTGTCTGTTTTTTGCATGTTATTGTTCAATGACTTTTGGTGCATTATTTAATTAAATAAAAATTATTTAGTGCACTACTACCATTAATATAAAAAAAAAGTAGGCTTAAGTATCATCAACAGTCGACATCAAAAAAAAAGGTCCAGGTAAGTACTTTATTTCTTGTTTTTCATGTGTATTCTTTATTTATTAATACAAAAGTAACTAAAATGTAAAAATAGGAAACTCTTTAGGTTTGTTAAAGCTAAATTACGTAAAATTAATAATAATAATGTAATAAAAATTTTCATGAGGCATGCACGTGAGCAGCTCGGATTACTAGCTCATGGGAAATGTAATTGGATAGCATAACTTGAGCCGTACATTTCCTAAGTGACTTACAACTTATAATGACACAAATATTAGATAGACACATTTCAAAGGGCAATAAAATGTAAGTATAAACAAATGTAATTTCATGTTACAGTTTAAAGTCATTCTAGAAAGAAAAAAGGGTAGTTTAAATTTTTTATTTCTTTTTTGTGGGTACGAGGTTGATCAAATTGACCAACCTTGTATAGAATTAGGGTAAAGAAAATAACAGCTAAAGTATAAGGTTTCACTGAAAAAAATGTTTGAAATGTATTTTGGAGATTTTAAAGATAATGCAAATGAATTTTGAGATGAAGAAAGGTAATTTTTAATCTTAACATGAAAATCACTTTGTACTCACAGTAGTCAAAAAAAAGACTGAATATATTCATGGACAAATCTTTTTTTAGTTTATTAAAAATACTTCACTAAAAAAATTGATTTTTTGTAAGTAAAAAACATGTGATGTTTACTGAAAGTCTGCCAAGTTTTGTGAAGATACACATACTATATTAAAAGGTAGTAGTATCAAAACTATAATAAGTACAAAGTGGTCACATGGTCAGTAAATTTGACCGAGCTCATGTTGAGAGAGTTTATCCAAGGTCAGGATTAATGCAAATTTATGACGTTCTTTATCCTGTTCACAAGAGTATTAACTAGCTGCAGAACAACCACATGAAAAATTTACTTGAATGATATAATTTTCTGGGAAATCTGGGTAATAGCTTCCCAATAAAATGTTTCATAAGATTTGTGATATGCATATCTTTTCATGAACATAATACAGTGTTTCAACAGTGAATGTTTTTCTTTATTTACAGTTTTTTTAAATCAAACAAACACTTGGAAAATATGTGAAATTTGAATTTTTTTTATTTTGCTGTTATTAAGAAAATAGGTTAATGTGAAGCTTTTTCTATATTAAAAATTCATTTTTACACAACTAAATTTGTTTTGTTGGAATAACTGATGTAGTTTATCATATTTGTTTCAATTTAATTTATTGATAATTAGATTTTGTAATATTATCATCAGTTTTCACAGTACTTTTTCATGATCTGATAAGTTTACTGCTGCTTAAATATACGTATATAGATAAAACTTTTGGATACTTCCACTAAGACAAATAATGTTTTAAAAACTGAATGATATTTCTGTGTGTGCTTCTGTTGTCTTATTTTAATAAAAGTTTTTACTTTTTTATATTAAAGGTCTGAAAAATGTGACTTTAAAAATTTGATTATAAGTAAATGATTTTCATCTAGAATTCTAAACTAATTTTTCTTATTTAATATGTAAGAATAGATTCATGAAACTTTGATCATATAAATAAATTTTTGTTACACAACCAAAAAAATGAATTCAGTGTGTGTAGGTAATAACAGTAAATGCTGATGTGAAGTTCCCTGTATCTGAATTTTTTAAACCGTGGTTATATATGCAATGAATGCAGTGTTTCATCCCTCATGAAATCTTTAGCAGCAAGTCAACAGATACACAGCAATGAATGAAATATTTTGCAGCAAATCAATACATCCACAACCATCTGTGCTGCATATCAGCCCTATAACATCTTTAGCAGTAAGTCAATACATCCACAGCAATGAATGCAGGGTGTAAGCCTTTATGAAATATTTAGCAGCAAGTTAACAGGTTCGCAGCAAGGTATGTAGGGTTTCAGCTCTTGTGGAAGGTTTAATAGCAAGTCCACACACCACAGCCATGGATGCATGGTTTCATTCCTCATGAAACCTTTTGTAGCAAGCCAACAAATTATCAGCAATGAATGCAGAGTGTCAACTTTCATGAAATCTTTAACAACAAGTGAACATACAAACAGCCATGAATGCAGGGTGTCAGCTTTCATGAAATCTTTAACAACAAGTGAACATATACACAGCCATTAATGCAATGTCAATTCTCATGAAATCTTCAGCAGCAAATCAACACATCCTCAGCCATGTATGCAACATATTTGCCCTCCTGAAGTCTTTAACAGTAAGTCAGTACATACAAAGCCATGAATCCAGTGTACCAGCCCTCATGAAATCTGTAGCAGGGTGTCAACCAATTCCCACCAATGAATGCAGAGTGTCAACACTCATGGAAACTTGAATAGTAAGTCAACAGATTCACAGCAATGAATGCAGGGTGTCAGCCCTCATGAAATGTTTCGCAACAAGTCAAAACATCCACAGAAGTGAATGCAGGGTGTCAGTCCTCATGAAATCTTTATAGTGAGTTGGCATATTCACCACAATGAATGCAGGAAGTCATCATTTATGAAATCTTTAACAACAAGTCAGCAGATCAACATCAAAGAGTGCAGGGTGCCATCACTCATGAAATGTTTAGCAGCAAATCAACACATACCCAGCCATGAATGCAAGATGTTCATTCCAAGCACTGAAATTAGATTAAGAACAATGAAAAACCATCATGTTGAGTTGTTAATGGGTGTGGCTTTAATCCTTTGGATATGATTGTGTCATCTTTATTGTGAAGGAGGAGAGGGTTGTATAAGCCCACTTTAGGACTTGTTTCACAAGTAATAATTAAGGAATTCTTTAATGCCATAATATGTTGTGATAGTTTCAACTGTATTGCATTTACTTGTTGATAGAATTGTTTAGGGAGGGATCTTGTGTATACTTCTTTCAGCATGATAATTTACCAAGCCATATGGCTCTCCATTTTCAGCACTAGTTCAGAATAAATAACAGTGAGAAGCTTCCTTGACCACTTAAAAGTCCTTACCTGAATCCAACTGAACCATTCTGGAGTGTTTTGAAATACTTCAAGATGGACAGAAAGTATAGACTCTAAAATCTAACTGCATTTGGAAAAGTTTTGCAAAAAGAGTGGTGTTTATTCCACCAAATGTATATGAACAGTTGTTGGCAAGTGTTAACAAAAATGCCCAATGTGGTATTTCTTCATATTAAAATGAGGCTTCATTTGCAAAACATGACATTCCTTTTCTCAAGGTATGCTGTCTAGAAAATTTTTGGTTTGTAGTTTTGTGTGTGTGGTGGGGGGGGTTGTTATACATATCATTACTTTATGTTCTAGTGTGTATTGAACTATGTAACTTAATTTTTAAATTGTATTTCTTGAAGGAAATTGGCTTATATGTAAAATAAATGTAATATAAATACAATTTAATTATTTTGAAATGATTTCACATTAATTTTTCGTCTTTTCATACTTTAGGAAACCTGAAGCAATATAGCTGTTTTGTTGTATCAAGTAGAGCTAGGTGATGAACTCCATTAACCCTATTGCTACAGGTTTTCCTATTGTCAGGGGTGAAAGGTCATGTCATCACGTTTGTAGACTGACATTCAAAATTTTATTTAACTACTATTTTCTGAATGTATGTCTGTAAGTTTGGTATCAAATTGTAGATTATAATT